AGGGAGACACATCTCCACAACTCTTTTTCCATTTCCATTTCTAATAACTACTAGACCAACTACTTCACTCTCATATTCACCTAATTGAGAGTTCTTTGGTTTTTGCATCCCTAATGTATGCACTACTTTTTACTCATACCCTTATCCTTTTATTTTTTATGAATTACCGCCTAATCAATTCATTTCTTTTAGGGAGGAATAGCAGTTTTTCTCCCTGTGTTAATTTGGGGTAGCACATTTAACCTTTAAGTAAACAAAATGACTGCTTATATTCGTTTTTCTAACAGAGACTAACAGTCCAAACAAAATGTTTACTACTGAGAACGGCTTTTGGGTATTACAGCTAGAACACTTTTAAAAAGACCTAATTATACGAAGAGGAAACAATTAGAGCTCTTTCCATTCATCCACAGTTCCAGTTTAAGGTTAAAATTTCAATTTCATTCCTCGGGGCAACTTCTTTCTTTCTCTTCCTTTATTTTATAATTGACAAAAAATAGTTCATATTTTGCACCTTGAAAACTGAACTCTTTCACAATTTTGCAATATATGAATGTATTAAGGGGTAAATCGTAAAATTAAAAAGGATTAGGTGTGAATCAAAAAGTAACGGATAGGTTAAGGGTATAAAATGCAAATAACTCCCTATTTGATCACCCAACATTTGTAAAATATGCACCTTAGAAGACATGCAGAAAATGTATGCAAGAGCTTAATATATTTAGCTGTCCTTTTAAATCCAGACGACATACCTTTGCCCGCTGCGTGCTCCCAATAGTAATGTATGCTATAGACACGCAGACCATCTCCTCCTCTATTCCACTCTTTAGCAAGCCCAATAGGCAATCAAGGACGTTACGTTTAGCAATGCTACGGGTTGCGATCATCATCTTACAAAACTCAGATCTTCACTTGGTTAGTAGGAAAAAATAGTCCCACGCAGTCTAATTTGCAAAATAAGAGGAATGCCCATTGAGAGCAAATGCTCTCTATGCGAAGAGCAACCCGAGGACACAAACCGCCTATTTCTACATTGAAAAATTACTCCTCAATTGTGGGATATGTTTTTCATCATTCTGGGCTCAAAATGGACAATGCCTAGAGATATCTAGGAAAGTAAGGCCCCATTTTAAAGTTTACAAGTACAATTTTTGAGCATTGAAGATGCTTTTCAACCTAAATCTAGACAACTCCAAGTTTTTCTTCTTTTTTTTTTCTTCTTTTAATCAAGGACAAGTTTCTTATTACCAGCTTACATACATAGAAATTTTGTCCCAAGATCTAAAAAGGCTAAGTTAGTGAATACCAGTTATAAAAAACTAAAAGATAATGTAGGCAAAAAAAAGAATGCAGCCTAGATGGCCAGCGCTGGAGCTGGGAGGTGGACTTGCCCATGATTTGAAGATGACAAAGAACCTATTTTTACACCTTCAGTCAAACGTTCTTACTATAAGAAGACTTTTTAAAAATATTGTGGTGGACAGCTTTACCAAATAGGTGGGTTTTTCGGAGGCTATTAGAAATTAGGCAGTAAACAATTTGACGTTGAATCAGGAACATGCTAAATTATAATCTCACTACATGTTGTTTAAGATGTTTCTACCTTTCAATCACTTAATTTATTTTAGTTTGTTCCTTTTTTCATTGGTTAGTTCATCAAAGTATTTTGGTTCAACCACGAAAGCTCCTTATACCCGCGTACCTCTTTCTGGTGCTCATCTCCCAGCTCGCTAATACGTATAACTGTATGGATGGCAGGGGGATTACAGAACGTAAGTGATCTCTAAAACATCAATTGACGTATATATTAGATAGGAAAAAGTAGGTTAAATGAGGAAAATAAAAACATTCCACTCACTTGAAGAGATCAAGTAGCACCGGAAGAACATCAGCCTGAAAGAAGGCCTTAATCATATCACTACGGCTCACAAAAGGATGAGGAATGAATTTTAATCTAGTATCCATTGGAGGCCATATCTACACCACCAGAAAGGTAATAAAGTGCCCAGCATGTATTTTTCAGCACCTCTTCATCAACATTTGAAGCAAGAAGGTTACGAAGAGTTGGAATTGTTGGTTTCACCTGACAATTGAATTGTACTCAGTAATGTTTGGCATCAAATAGTTGCAGATGCAAAAAAAAAAAATCAACAGTAATTAACCGGCCTTCTCAAAGGGCGGTTTTGGCCTGCCTCCACAAAATTTTGATATAGTCCACGTGGCTTTTCTCAGCATTGAAATGTCATTAGTGTTGTTCAAAATTTCCAGCAAATCATCCAAAGCCCCACACTCAATTAGAGCATAATCACAACCTACAACGGATTGAGCAACCTTTCCCAGTTTCTTCACCGCCTATATTTGGAAGGAAAAAACAAGCAGTCTGCTAATAAACATATAGCTTCAGACTATACAGCACAGGGGTCTGCCAATTTTAAAACATACCTGCTCTCAAACATTACCATCTGGAAAATGCAAAAGCTTTAGAAGAGTTTCCACCAGCTTATTCTCAATCACCAAATCAGTTAGCTCCAACAATTCAGGAATACCGTCTATGACAGCCTTAGCAGCTTCAGACTGTGACCACAAAACCATAAGAATAAAGCAAGTGTGAAGCTACAACCACAAGACACTAAAGAAGAGGCACAAAAAGGTGATCAACACATCATTATCTACCTTGAGCTCTGATGAATCCTCTCTCCCTAGAATTTCATTAAGTAGAGGAACAAGTTCACCAGAGTCTCGAGCATCTTCTAGAGCAGTGATTATACCTGTGAATAAAAATTTGAGCGTAAGTGATATGCGAGTTCAAGAAAATCAGCAGAAACGAAGCTGGAGCAGTTCATACCATAATCGAACAATTTTTGGAGTTGTTTGATCGCCAACAACTTCATCAAATCGCAATCACCATACTTAAGAAAATCAACTATTGATGGAACATCCAACTGTAAAACCAACAAATTAGTTACCATTCAAAACCACATTCACACTACCGTTGGAAACAAAATACAATCAGCTTGCAAATCAACACACCTTCAGTGTATATAACATAAGGGGTCTAAAACACACCGGATCTGATCGCTTAGGGTCAATCTACCTGGTTTCTAAGAACACAAAAAACTAACATACGGATCCAGTATTCTAAGTTTTACCCATCAAAAAGCTAAATGGGTATGCACAATGTACTGATTAAATAAGAAGAAAAATAACAATATACAAAAAAAAACACCTCATCGTAATCCACCTCGGGATCCTTAGACAGTTTCCGAAGACGCTTCGCAGCACCACGTGTTACCATAGGCATCTTAGTAAAAATCCTTTAAAAAGTAAAAACTGCAAGAAGGAAAATAAGTAGTATTATGGGGAAGGGAAGGGAAGGGAAGGGAGGAAGATAATTGAATCAATGTAACCCTAAAACTGAAAGATAGAAGCAAAGAGTTAACAGTAGTACCGGAAAATACCTAAAACAGAGCAAATAGCTACAAACACAATACTAGCACCAATGGCAGGGATGGACTAATTAATATGTCAAAAACAACACTAACATCAAAAGGACATGCAACGATGAATTATACTATTAAAATTCTAACGTCAAATCGACGTTTGACGTTAACTCAGAGATTCGTCAAAGGAAAACTGTTAAGGCATGGGTCCTCCGACTGTTAAGGCAGCGATTCAAAGCAGAAGAGCAGAGAAGAAAGGGAAGAAGAAGAATATCATACCTGGAACTTAGCGTTGAAGAAGAAAGAAGATCTTCTGAAAAACCCTTTGAAAGCAGCGAAAGAAAAGAGTCCAAAGTAGCAGGCGTTTGGATGATTTTTATTTTATTTTAAAAAAATATTTTTTGAGTTAAGTTGAAATTTGAAATTATGTTTTGACATATATTTTACTTAACAAAAATATTGTAATTTTATGAGTTGAAAAAAGAATTTCCGAAAACTTATAAATTTTCATGACAAACACTTTTTTTTTAAATCCGGAAAAAAGAAAAAAGACCTATCCAAGTTAGTTTGAATAAATAGAGAACCTTTTCTTCTGTGTGAATCAATGTAACCCTAAAACTGATAGATAGAGCAAAGAGTTAACAGTAGTACCGGAAAACACCTAAACGAAGCAAACAGCTACAAACACAACACTAACACCAATGGCAGGGATGGACTAATTAAAATGTCAAAAGCAACAACTATAAACACAACACTAAAACCAAAAGGACTTGCAACGATGAATTATACAATTAAAATTCGACGTTTGACGTTAATTCAGAGATTCGTCAAAGGACACTGTTAAGGCATGGGTCCTTCAACTCTACACTAAAGTCCCCTTCGATTGAAGGATTCACCGATGGATTTAATGAGTTGATTGCGCAATAAGGAGGATGCCATTTCAAACGGTGTTGTGGAGAGCAGAGAAAAGCAATTGGGGAAGAAGCAACAGCAGAAAAAGAAGAAAGAAGAAAAAAATGGCGATTCAGAGAAAAGAAGAGCTTAGAAGATCATACCTGGAACTTAGCCTTGTGAATTGATCGCAGTCCTGGGTTTATATTGAATGTGGAATTCACTAACTTCAATTGTCCAGTTAGCAGTTAGCCAACTGTAATATATGTGGCCTACTTTTGTGCAATGATTATTAGCCTTGTTGGCTCCTTCATGGCCTTCCCTTAAGGACCTTGTTAGACATATTATGTCCTTTCATTCTAGGCTTTGTTGGCCAATTGTATACCAAGCGACTCCAATTTATTTGGTTATAAATTGAGCTGATTCTAGCTCATTCAAAACACACTAACAAGATTTGAGTTCTTCATTTCTTGTTTATTCTCCTCTTTTAGTAATTGAGAGTATTTTGTAAGAGAGTTGAGTGTCGGAAAACACTTGTGTGAACCCTTCTTTGGAGTGATCTTGTGAGGATATTCTCTTGGGATATTTTGGATTGATTAGAGTATTTACTCTAATTTTGTACTCTCCTTTGTACTCTTGCTACTATAGTGAAATTGCTCTTCTCCGCTTGTGGACGTAGGTCATACTGACCAAACCACGTTAAATTGGTGCCTTCTTTATATGCTTTAATTGTCGTTGTTATCAACTTGCATAGTCTTTGTTATTATCATTATAACATTATTTGGCTAAATTCCTCACTACCTGGGTTCCCGATCCTAACACCAACTGACCCGATAATTCATGCTTATGAAGGACATTCTTCAAATGAAAAGTTGTCACAATGGCAATGAGATGACATTGAAAATAAGGCCTAAGCTTTCGAGAAGCGATCACGAGAGCTAGGCCAACTTTTCAAGGTGCGGATAACGTGTCTTCGCCTCCGATAAAATATTACTAACATAATAAATAGGAAATTGCGTACCTTCTTCCTCCCTGACCAGAACAGCACTTACTACTACTTCCTAGGCCGCTTGATAAATTAACAATTGCTCACCTTCCAACGGTTTTGACGGCAACGGAGGGCTAGACATGTACCTTTTTAGGTTTTTCAATGCCTGGTGGTATTGCGGAGTCCACACAAAATTATTTCAAAAGCAAAAAGAAATGATGGCATTTCTCCGAAGACCTTGAAATGAACCTACTTAGAGTCGCCAACCTGCCGGTCAACCTTTGCTCTTCTTTTCACACTTGTTAAGTGAAATTTTCTTTCTAAAAACTCCGTGAACAAGGATACTTGTTCGAGTTCTTCAGCGGTTGATTTGGTCGCATCCATTTTCTCCGATACTTGAAAAGACCTCGGTACCTAATAAAAATTTGATGACCCCTCTTCTCCATTGTCTTCAATCGGGGTGGAAGAGGGCACCGACTCCTGTAGTTGATATTTGCTTGTTTCTTTCCCCTTGCTACTGGACAAGGTAAGTGCATTCATCTCTTTCACAGCCGGTTGACTACTATAAAAAAGGCCTTTGGTGGAAATTATTTAGCGAAAATAAGGCAATCATCGCTAATGAATTATTTAAACAAAAATATTAGCGGCACATGATCATTAGCCAGTAAAAGATATCCTTTTACCGACAAAAAAAAATGCCACAAAAAATCATTAATTAAAACTATTTTTTTATTATTTTAACTTTCCCTCCGTACAAAAAAAAAAATCTTTCCCTCTAATTTTTTTTGGACAAGAAATTACATTCCCTCCAATTAGAAAACAATAAGAAAACATATTTTCTTTAATAAAAAGGAACTCAACGGCGGTCTCCAGAAAACATATTCCTAATTCCCTTAATCTAACAGCTTGTTTGGATAGTTGTTACATATCATTTTATAATGTATCGTATCGTACTGTATTGTATTGTACTGTATCGTTTGATGAATACAATGTTTGGATAGATTGTGTCCTTTGCCATCATTTCATGATATCACGCACCTGAAGAATAAACTTGCAATATTATACACAAAAATTATAATACGGGACAAAATTACTATATAAAAGGTAGGGTAAATGATAAAATAAAATTATTTAATAATAATGAATGGTGAGATTGAGAGAAAAAGATAAGGTAACGACGCGACCGCACCAAATCGGTCGTTACATAAAGTGGCATATTTCGTCATTACGTAACGACAGATTTAACGATACGATACAATAAAAATTAAGTAACAATCAAAACAAATATCGTATTTAAAGTAACAATACGATACAATACAATAGGTAACAACCATCCAAGATATATTCTTGAATGAGACTCGATTTCAATGGAGTTTACAGTCTGATATCAAAATGTGGCTTAAACCTGCAATAGAAATAAGAAACAAGAAATTAGTCAATGAACTCTATGAGAAAGGCAAAGATGTAAGGTGATAACTGGAGAAAAGCTTTGTTTTTTGCCAATTAAGGCAAGATTTTACTCAAAGTTTTATGAGAATCAAGAAATATTAGCGCAGAATTTTTGTTTTATGTACGATTCCTCAGATATATAACTTATGAGTTTCCGACTATTAAATTCTATATTTATTGTTGCTATATTATCACATGTCTCGTCCAATTTAGAACAACAATTAACGTGCTCTCATACTTTAATAAGACTACGCCAAACTACTAAAATATTACTCCATTGTTCGAATTTATGTGAAGTTGTTACTACTTGGGAAGTCAAACAAAGTTATCTTTGACCATATTTTTTGTATATATTTTTTAAATATTTTGAATTATTAACTATTCCAACTTATAGTACTTTTTTATGTAGTTTCTAAACATGTAACTTTTGTTTCAAAAATTCTATGTCAAAATTCACATCTAAAATTAGTTAATCTGACCCTTGTGAAATGAGGAAGTATGTAACATCTATTTATTTGGGGAAAAGAGTCTAATTACTCTAATCTTCCGTAGCCGTTAAGAAAAAGTCTTAATTATGCCCTTCCCACTAATGACTGGGTTCTAATATAATGGAAGCTAAATTTTATTAATTTTGATATAGAACATAGATATTTTTTACCAATCTTACCTTTAAGATAACAGAAACTAAAGATTAGATATATGAATCTAAATATCATGGACTACCAAAACTCAAAAGTATAGGTGCTTCTGTCTCTGTATGAGCAACCACTTCTTTCAACCCATGGCTAAGTTCTTTTGCCTTCTCGATCTGTTTCTTCACATGTTCCTTTTTCTCTTTGGTCATTTTCAGTTTAGCTTGAGTACAAACGATCGCCTCTTCAAGATCATCAGCAGTAATAACAACCTCTTCATATTTCTTCTCTAATTCTGAAACAGATAACATAGCTCCTTTTCTCTGTGCAACTTTCAAATCATATTTATGAGAAATCAAATCCTCCACAGCTTTGTAGAGACAATGATAATCAGCACCGAGCCAATTCAATGTTGTGAAAGCACCATTGGCAAAAGTAACTGTGTCATTTACGTTACTCGTCCCATAAATGAGCTTAGACACCAATATATACTTGACATCAGTGACCATTTTCTTCGAAATTTCATTCATTTGGGGAGAATATTCATTTATTCCAGTATGTGTTATTGTTGGTTGCTTCAGTCTTGATAAAGGATTTAGCTTAAACTTTGTTTCTCTTTGTTCTTCCTCTTCATCACAAGGAATTAGTAAAGGCCTATCACTGGTTGAGCCCAATGGTGGCAAAGGAGAAGGGGGAACTGCTGGAGCTTCCGTGGACACTATCACATTAATAATACCAATCAATATTTCGGTTTATGATATTTGAAAGAAACAATGAAATAGGGTGGAAGAAGATTAAAAAAGTCAAATAGAACCAGCTGTTAACAGAGCCTATAAAAGAATTTACTAAGAAAATGTGGTTACTGTAGAATGCAGAAATACATGATGTACTTTAGTACAACCTACAATGCCAAGAATCAACAACTATAATCTTGTAAAGATTTCAGCTTTTTGGTGTTTTACTGAAGAAACAAGAAAGTAAGGGCACCCCAGGTTATTATTGTGCTCCACAGCTAGCCCCAAATGCCAAGAAACTACTATAATCTTGTAAAACTTCAGCTTCTTATGTTTCACTGAAGAAACAAGAAAGAAAAGGGCACCCCAGGTTGATAATTTGTGCTAAACAGCTAACCCAAAATACCAAGAAACTACTATATAATCTTGTAATGACTTCAGCTTTTTTATGTTTAACTGAAGAAACAAGAAGGGGAAGGGAATCCCAGGTTGATAAATTGTGCTACACAGCTTAGCCCAAAATGCCAAGAAACTACTATAATCTTGTAAAGACTTCAGATTTCTAACTTCTTACTGAAGAAACAAGAAAGAAAAGGGCACCTAAGGTTGATAATTTGTGCTATCACAGCTAGCACAAAAAACTAAATACACTCTTCAAGAAAACTGAAAAACATGAAAGTAAAGAAAGCTTACTGCGAACCCCACAGACTTTCATGGAAATCCTTTTTTTCTTGAAACTACATTCGAGTTTCGGAGATGATGCGCTAGAGCTAGCTGCTGGTTGTAGTTGGAGAGACTTTCTTCGAGCCAAGCTTAACCTTGTCGCTACCATTTTTCAACTACTTCTTCTTCAATCCTCTAATTCTCTCTCTCTTCCTAGAGGAAAAAAAAAAGATAGTCTGAGAAATAAGTAGTGGATTTCAAAGGATTTCAAAACCAGAAAGCTGTCAATGAACTCTGTGAAAACAGAGACAAAGCTGTAGGCTGGTGCTAGTTGGAGAAAAGGTTTTGTTTGCCAATTAAGGCAAATACTTTACTCTTAGTGTTTTATGAGAATCAATATATGCTAGCACACATTTTCTGCTCTTTTTGTACTATATTCATCAAATAGGTTTTGAGTTAATTAGGAGCTTTATTAGCACTATTTTGATGCATGGAAAGTACAAACAAGAAAGGGACAACTGAAAAGAAAAGGAAAGCAAGGTTGCTGGAAAATTTTGGGTACTAAGAATATTCTTCAGCAATATTTGCATGAAATGACTGAGCATAGTTAAAAGACAATATTTATGAACTCACTTGCTTATTGTGATTTCTCAAAGTAATAAAATGTTCCTAGCCTCCCAAGTTGAGAACTAGGTGTTTGGAAAAAAGAAGTTATTTTATGCCCTTGACTTTAGTGTAAAATGTTCCTATATTTAAGTGTGTCAAGTAGTTGAAATTAATTGAATCTGTTTCGTTAGACTTTATAAATTACAGGTTACTTCTTATTATTTTAAGTTCACGATATTCCCTTGAAGATATTTTAAAAGAGTCATACTCATTACTCATAGAAAAGTTGATATATGAAACTGAAGAGCAAAATTTTTTTTAAAAAAACTATGATTGTTCAAATTGTGGGGAGAGGAGATTAGGCAGGATATTGCACTACTTCAACTTACCGAGGACATGACCCTTGATAGGAAGGTGTGGAGGTCGAGAATTAAGGTTGTGGGTTGACAGGAAGTTGACAGTTTCTCCTAGCCGTACCAGCAGTATTAGTACTAGTCTTGTATTTTCCTATTCCTAGTTCCTTGTTGTTATACAGTGTGGCATTATTACCATAAGTATTAGTATTATTCTTGTATTTTTATATTCCTAGATGTTTGTTATGACACGTTGTGCCATTTGTTTCTGTTGTCTTATTACCTTGTTATTGTTATTGTTTGTTTATTGCGCTCTTTTCACTGTTCTTGAGCCTAGGGTCTATCGGAAACAGTATCTCTACCTTCATAAGGTAGGGGTAAGGTCAGCGTACACATTACCCTCCCCAAACCCCACGTGTGAAATTTCACTCGGTTTGTTGTTGTTGGTATTGTTGTTGTTTTCTTCAAATTATATTTGTACCTGCTAAAAACTGAACAAAGAACTTTAAGGAGAATTACTACATGCATGCAGATAATTACATAAACACACAATCTGTCTGTTGCTAGAGCAAATCCCAAAACAATTCAAAATATTCTTTACTTTGATCAACAGGTATAATCAAAACCTTCTCTAACTAATGGAAATCATCAATCATAAAAGGTATATAAATGCTATTAAGCTCAGTCCATACACTGTAGGCGTGGAGTGATGGATTCAATCCGTTTGCGAGTTTCCTTCTTCACTGCTTCTACTTGTGTACCAAGTTTTTCTACGTCAGCCTGTGCAGCTTCATGCTCTTTTTTATACTTTTGTTCGTCGCATTTCAAATGCTCTACACGATCTTTAATTTCATCAACCATTTGTTTCAATCTCTGGATCAGTTCTTCTGCCTTCTCAATTTCTCTCTTCACATGTTACGTTTCCTCGTTGGCAATGTTCAGTTTTGCTTGAGTATTAATAATCGCCTCTTCAATATCATCAGCACGAATAACTACCTCTTCATATGTCCTCTCCAATTCCAAAAAAGTCAAGATATTGCCTTTCCTCTCTTCAATTTGCAATTCATATTTATTAGAAATCAATTCCTTCACATCTCTGTAGAAACAATCATAATCCAATTCAACGTGTTGAAAACACCATTGGCAAAATCAACCATGTCCTCCACATTAGCAGTCGTCTCAGAAGTAAGCTCGGACACCAACGTGATCATCATCTTCGATTTCTCAAGCATCTCGGGTTTATGATTAGTCCTTGGAGGTTGCTTCAGTCTTGATAAAGGATTTAGCTTAAACTTTGTCTCTCTTTGTTCTTCCCCTTCATCACAAGGAATTAGCAAAGGCCTATCACTGGTTGATCTCAACCTGTACCATAGGAGGTGAAGGAACTTGTTCCGGAGCAATTGTGCTCGTCGAAAATTGGGAAAGAGTATTGCCATTTGACTCCTTTGGTGGCACAGGAGGTGAAGGAACTGCTTGAGTTTAAACAACATAAACAACATAAGCACTTCAAAGATAATGGAAAAATCAAACAGGGAAGATCAATATAATGTTTTTGAAGAAAAACTAACTTTAACTCCCATAGTGATATATCATATTTTTCTAACTAAAAGCTTTTTCGACTTTCCTGACTCCATCAAGAATAATGTTTGCAGTACATACATTAAGCAGTTTCATCCTAAAAAAGATGAATACACATTATACCTGTTGATGTTTGCAAAATCTCAGGCGAAATATTTCTGGAACAAGGTATAAAAATAAACAAGAATTATTGCCCACCCAATCGCTTAAATTAAAAGTAATTGGCAGATGTATAACACTTGTATAATATATGTATAACCAGTGTATAATCTATGTATACCGACTATGAAAAGTAAACAGTGAATCCAACCGGTTATTTGTGTAAAGATCCCATACATAAACACTAGACAATTCTCCTATTGTCTATGGCCTGTGGCAATAACATTGTCTCATATTATTGGTTTAAGGCTGAATGTGCTAGGGAAAACTGTGTTAATAATATTCTGAAATGGAATGAACTTTGTCCTTTTGCAATCTAACACTTGTTGTTAGCTAGAAATGGTAATACTTTCAACAGAATAAATGGACATGCTTCTTTAGGTGTAGTATTACTAGGGCCATTGAATTAAAATGATGAATCACTTCAATAACAATATTTTTAATATATATAGTATCTTTTCTACAAAAAAAAAAATTACTGCAAATTATAGAGACTTCCAAACAGGGGACAAAGATGTATGTATTGGAAGGAAAACTTACTGCAAATCACACTGGCTTTCTTGTACTTCCTTTTCCTCTTATTATAACCTTTGACTGTTGAAGATGAGCTAGCTGCTAGTTGTTGTGGGAGAATTCTTGGAGCTAAACTTGATCTTGTTGCCACCATGTTTCTTCTTTTTCTTCAAATTGAGATAAAGTTGCAGGGTGGTGGCTGGAGAAAAAGTTTTGTTTGCCAATTAAAGCAAGATATATAACTCAGAAAGTTTTGTTTGCCAATAAAGGCAAGATATATAACTCAGAAAGTTTTATGAGAATCAAGAAATGTTAGCACACAATTTGTGTTTTATGTACAATTCCTCAGATATACATCCTATGAGTTTGGAGCTTTTTATTAGAAGTTTAGCATCCTTTTCATGCATGGGAAGTACAAAGAACAAAAGGACAACAGAAATGAAAAGGTAAAAGAAGGTGGTGGCATGACAAATTTTAGGTACCAAAAAAGCCTATAGTTAAAGGAAATATTTTATGCAATTTATCTCAGTCAGTGTAAAATATTCCTATTTCGAAGTGTGGAGGTCGAGAATTAGGACGGAAGGTTAGTAAGGATGTCGAGTGTTTCCCTTTTTCTTTCCCGGACCGGTAGCATTAGTATTAGCATGGTATCTCTTTATTCTTGGATTGCTGGTACTACCTACTGTTTGAGTACTTTCTTTCTCTTTGGTTTTCTTAATATCTTTGCTATTGTTATCACTTGTTGTCACTGCTTCTTTTTCATCTTGTCTTAGTCGAGGGTCTATCGAAAACAATCTATCTGCCCTCCTAGGGTAGGGATAAGGTCTGCATACACACTACCCTCCCCAAACCCCAGTTGTGGGAACTCACTGTGTTTGTTATTGTTGTTGTTGAAGTGTCCCGCATAGTTGAATTAATTATAGTACATTATTTTGTGATATTTGAGCCGAGGGTCTACCGAAAACAGCATCTCTACCTTCTTAAAGGCAGGGGTAAGATTTGCGTGCACTCAACCCTCCCCAGACCCAACTTATGGGACTACACTGATATGTTGTAGTATTTTGTGATATTTGTTTTTGATAAGTATTTCAAAGTTTTGGTATAAACATGGCAACCCCCATGGGGAATCATTCTTATGTAATTATGCTTGTTAATGAATGAAAACTTAGTGTTTCTACCAAAAAAACTAATTAATAAACTAGAAAATATATGTGCAAATGCACATGTTTTAAAATAAGAAAAGGCAGAAGGATATTAGAGACATTAATTTTGTCTGGTGTACAATTTTTACGAACCATTTCTTGGTTCTATACTTCTATCTCTATTTTCTTTTTATTTCACTTAATTAATTATGCAGAGAAATTAAGATATAGAATTTGTTATATGAAACAGGAAATGAAGGATAATCTTTAACGAACTATTATCATTTATACGATCTTTCAATCCTCCTTTTTTCTTCTCACTACGATTTATGCACCATAGTTTTTGTTTATTGTGTTATGTATCAATTTTTCCTCATTCATTTATTGAGAGAATAGTTTAATTTATATTTGATAATTAAACTGCATGAGCAATTAAATAGTTAATATCACTCCCTTGTTGAAAAGAAAATATTACACCTAGGATATATTAGACATTTCTTAGACGACAAACTAAAGAACTAACGTGGCCATCAAACAATAAAAATTTATGCGCACCCTATGTTTACACCAATCTAATGAATACATAAAACATGTTTTCACACTTTTATCGCTTAACCATAGTTAAGTGATACACATTTTCGCCTTACTTTATGCTTAACCTTTAGTATGATTTGATGTAAACACAGAGTGCCGATAAGCTATGTTGCGCGGACTCTTCAAAATATTGCCGCACCTGTGTCGGATCCTCCAAAAATACATTACTTTTGGAGAATCTAGCACGCACCCGACAATATTTTCGAAGAGTTCGAGCAACATAGCCGATAAGTATTTAAGTGAGGAGAAAAGCTCAAAAATTGAGAATCAATTGAATAAATAAAATAGAGGGAAAAGAGTATCTACACATAATCAAGTATTTTGTACAAAAATGAAGGGAGACAAGCTATCATAATGTTCTCGCCTATGAGCTACTCGTCTGTAAGGTTTCCTATTTTTCCAAAACAATTGTTCAATGTTACTANACAAAAATGAAGGGAGACAAGCTATCATAATGTTCTCGCCTACGAGCTACTCGTCTGTAAGGTTTCCTATTTTTCCAAAACAACTGTTCAATGTTACTACAACTTCTTGATACATCCATAGCAACCACTCTCTCCCATTTGTGTTTTCTTGATTTCCTTCTTCCTTCTCTGTGTCGCGGCGAAGGCGTTTGAGGTACCTCGTGTTTGCCAGCAACAACCTTCTCTTCGCCGCTTGTTGATATTGATGCAAAATCCTCTCCTTCCATGCAACATGCAGGGCAGATGTAGATCTTCGGCAGTGAGGATAACTTGATACAATCAAAATGATACCATTCATCGCATTTATCACAAGCGATCATCGGTCTCTGATCATAGGGTCTCCGACAAATGCAATAAAGCATACTTCGATCTCTTAGCAACTTAAGCTCCTTTTCACACGATACAGGTAAATTTTCACCCTCGGTAATAAGCTCAAAGACCTTTTCCAATCCAAGCACGCCCCCATCTGTTGAAACCTTCTTCGCCATATCAGCCCACTGCAAACCTATGTGCTTCGCTTCTGCTAGCCTCTGTCTAAAATAATCTTCTGAGGGAACACCGACAGCTAGTCCCTCTTTTAAATGACGTTGAAGCACTTGAATTGAGGGTTTTTGAGAACCGTCTAATAATCTTTGAGCTCTGATTTTCCAAGAAGTTCTTGCTAATGCCAACTCAAGTTTGCTGTTTGCCTCACAATCATATGCACCACCAACATGTACAGCCTTCAAAGCAACACAAAACTTTTTAGCAATAATGCTAAGGTCTTTATCTGGATAAGCTAAAACAAACTCGACAAACTCTTCTATCCGAGCTTTGAAATCAAGAGCTTTTTGAGCGATTTGCTGAAGTACAGCTCTTTCCTGAATCCATAAACTTAGATCTTCAGCATCTGATAAGAGCTCAACGAGCTTGTGCAACTTGAGATTCTTCCGTCCAATATTCAGAGGATCACTTCCATTTCTTGATATTTTTCCACTGCTCATAAAATGACAATAAGGGCAAATAAAAACTTTTGAATCATTGGCATCCCCTGTTGACAATCCAATGCACTGCAAGTGGAAGCAGTCCTTGCAAGTAGAACACGTCAAAAGCTTCTGGTTTGCACCATCAAGTGAGCAGCATACACATAAAGCCCTTGCATTGGAGTGATTAGATTTCTCACAAATACTGATTGATCTCTCAAGTGAGTTTTCAGTCTGTAGAAGCGCACTAAGCAAGTCAGCGTCTCCAACTGAAGGCTGTAAGACTCCCATACAACGGCACTTCCACTCCTCTATCCTGTGAACCTCAGAGAAAACCATGTCTAGTTCTGTGCAACTGAAGGCATCATTACTCCCTTGTTCCTGAAAGTGTTCAAATTACTAGACACTAACAGTGAAACTCATTGAATATCACATGTAAATACCACTACATGGCATGAGAAAATGCGCGCTAAAGCTTCAAAATATAAAACCATGCATTGACCCTATATTAATTACTTAGTGAGGTAAAGAATAACTTTCGGGCCATTTCCATGAACGAAAATTCCCAAATGTGGACAATAAGCCAGTTGAAAATCACTGAGTTACATCCACGAGAATTTTTTCATTATCATATTTCATAAAGTTTCTCAACTAGTGCTTTTCTGTGTTTCTTGCACTTCCTCAGTTTCCAGAAATCGTAGTAGGGTGAAATTTTTCAGACACATTGTCCTGCCGAATCAATCTCCGTAAGGTTAACTGACAGCACGAATTTGAATCAGAAGTGAGAAAACGTCGACTCCAGTTCAAATGTGTTTGAGGGAAAGAGGAGGAGGAGGGTTTAGACTGCTGTTACAATATGAGCCACGTGAGAAAAAAAGGACTAAAAAAACCTTTTACTTATCAAAAAAGATGGATTACCTAAGAAAGAGGAAAAATATAGTAAGAAGAATCACAGAGGTCAGCCCTCCATTTGTAGAACAGTGTCTTTCCTTCTCTCATTTAGTGGGAGAAATTTGAAATGACAAAGCTAACACTTTATAAGAAGTCCCCAAGGGATCAGAGATGAAATTCTCAAAAGATGCAACATTAAACTAATTTTCCATCTTCTAGTATAATAAAAACTCAAAATGGAAATGTAATGCAACAAAAATACCCCCATAACAAACTTTCCAAAGAAATAAAAGCTACAACTTGTAGGAAGGAAAAGAAAACACAGCAAACCAAATATATTACCTTAAGCTGCAGCAATAGATCCCACGATCGATCCCTAAAGTTGAGGGCGAAAAATAAATGCACGTGATCCAGCCATGACCTGCCAAAATTAAATTATAAGTGATACAAACTAATAAAAATTTGCAGAAAAGCAA